CGGTCTATTCCAGCGTTTCCATAGCAGTGACTCTTCTGGATTGCAAACACGTTACAATATATATATATATATATATATATTTGTAATACTGCAGATAGCAGTAGTTGTGAGATTGTAAATTGTGTGAGTGTATGAGCGAGTGGAATAAATTCGCTATATCAAAGAAGGTGTGAAATTATTTGTTGCGTTATACACCCAAACACATGACAACTGGTGTCAGAAGTGGGATTGGACTTACACACGTGACCGACAGGATTCAAACTCAAGACACGTGACAATTTGGTGTCAGAAGTGAGATTAGACTTACACACGTGACCGACAGGATTCGAACTGAAGACACGTGACAATATATAAAGAAATTACTGTTAAAATCTTAAATTCCCCAAATTGGAACATATGCAAAATAACTGTCCCTTGTCTAAAGTTTTCAGAATAGCCATTGCCTCTCCTGTAAATACTGATGCAAACTTTGTAGTCCGGAATTGATATCTGATTTCTCCAGGTGCTGTCACACACAAGACCTCAAATTCCTGGTTACACATTTTTGAGCTATCAGTAAAATAACAGTAGCCTCCTTTTCTAGGTCTTCATGTTTTCATTGAATTGGTTGCTGCCGTCGGGAATTGCCTCGACTTCTTCACCCTCCTTGAAGGAAATGCTTCCATTAACCAAGAGGGTTAGATAGGAAAACGACATTCAAGAAATCTGACGTCCTTTGCTATCAGATGCCAGCCAGTTCTGTGTCTACATAGCAAGTGCAGATCCAAGGTACCCTTGAGTAATTTCATAGGATCCTCTCTAACTCTTGCCATCAGTCGCAATGATCATATTACAGGATGTGCTGGGTCGCTAAAAGCTCTGATTAAATAACTGCTGCCTAGGAATTGTTATTGGTGGTATTTTAGTTTCTGCTAGCGTAACATTTTTGGGTGTCGTCCTCATATATCCAGGGACTGTGCACTGGATGTGTACTGATAACTGGATCTAGTAGATCATTATAACTCATAATTACAAATTATTTTAACAGCCTCAGAGTCAGATTTACTTTATGACTGGTGGTTTACCACCAATCAGTTCATCTTGGTACCAAGCCCCTTGAGGCGCATGATCAGATTTTTTTTTTTGCACCTGAACATTTGCAGGCATAGTCCTTATGTAACATCCTTTGTCCAGAGAGGATATAACAGCATCACTAAATTACACACTGTTTAAAAAACTACAATTTCAGCACATCACACCATTCCCAACAGTTCCTCTATTGTTGTGTGATGATTTTTTGTTGTGGAACTGTGTTTGCTGCACCGTTGTCTAGGAATGGCCACCTCTTCTTGTTCCACTAATCAAGCTTTCAGCAGTCATGTCACAGGATGCAAAAAGGGCACCATACATTCTATATATCACGTGTTAATAAGTAGGAGGGGAAAAGGTTAAAACTACTTGCCCTTTCTTACCTCGACAGACTTCAGTATTTATACACCAAAAATTGTGCTATAGAAATAATGGATGAAAATGACAAACATTATGGTATAGAAGAAACTCAGCACAAATACAGAACGAGACAGTTATTAATAAACCATTGTATTCTTGTAATATTGTACCAATACACAACCAAAAAGTATATTATATTAATAAATTAATAATTACAGTAATTCAGTGTGATTAAACAACCCTAAAATGAATAAATGAAAATATTAAATAAAAATGACACTTCTGATTCATGGATGCTGTTTGTGTAGGAAGATGTCATCATTATTCCGTATTCCGTATTGAGGGGGTGGGTTTCCCCATGCACTTAGACCGGTTAGTGGTCCATTGTGCGTCCCCCTTTAATTTCTACTGTCTCCATACCCTACCGATACTGGTGCTTACTATCAGCCCCTTTCTGCCAGCAAGGTTCCAACCTCCTCTGGCAGTGGTATCTAATAGTTAGTCCCTTTCTGTCAGAGAGGTCCCCCCTCCTCTGGCAGTGGTACCTAATAGTTCCCCCATCTACCGGAGGATTTGGAAACTACTTGGGCGGGAAATGTTGCCTAATTTTGCTCAGAGGTCTCCTAGAGACATGAGGTTTTTTTTACATGCCGTAAATCTACGACACGGGACCCACGGCTTAAAGTCCCTCCCGGAGGACTTGTTCCCTGAATTTTTCCGCCCTTAAAAATTCCATGACCTCCGCCGGGTTTTTGAACCCGCGTACTACGAGTCATGAGGTGGGAACATTACCTCTAGACTACGGAGGCCGCTATGTCATCATTAACAGACACACATTTCAGTTACATCTTCCTATCCAAACATATTTTCAACCTTCTTGAGCTAACTATTCTACATCAGGACATCAATATATAGTCTCTCTTTTGATTAAAGCCAATATACTTACAACAAACTGACTTCCTAAAAGTCACCATAACAAGCAGTTCCACACAGAAACAAGACATTACAACAAGGAAGCTGGTTGAGGACCTACTGCAAATCATTCAGACAGTAAAGTGAAGTGATACAAGCTACTTGCATCAACTCTTTCCATGTGTCAGTGCAACTGACAAAACCGTAGGAAAAAAAAAACACTCTGGTCTCTTGTGCAAGGTGCCTAAGAGATATTCTTGGAGAATGTTCAAGACTAGTGCCGATGTTACCAAGTTTCTTTTCAGTGAAGAATCTGCATTTTGTTTAAGTTCCACTTTTTGTCCAACACAGATTCTGTCTGTCTAAATTGATATCAAAACGTCTTCCCTATTTTCATATGGGTATTGAATATGAACATATGCTTCTACATGTAACTCATGTGGCATTTTGACACAACATGGTTGAATTAATGTTTAATACAGTAGCAGGAGCTGGTTGATATAGCATGGGCTGGAAGGCTGGGATTCAAATCCCAGCAAGGGCAGGAGAGTTCTCTCTACTCCACAGCATCCAGACCAGCTCTGGGGCCCACCCAGCCTGTTCGTGAAACTGACCACTCATGTTCAACGTGTGCTGAGGTCTACGATAGTGGAGCTGCACCTCCACTCCCCCATGTCTTTATGGTGTGGTGCTTAACTGATTAAGCACAGGGAAAACTGTAGCCACTGTACCTTTTACATTAGCAGGAGCTTGCAATTATGGTTGACAGGCACATAATATACATGCTCACTTCACGGTAGCTGTTCAGAAATGTAATGGGCGTGATATGGGTGATGGACTGTAACGTGTACAAGCTATGCGTCCGTCAACTTTGCTAATCAAAATGTGTACTGTGAGTTGACACAATGTGTCTTCCTCCTGCCAGACTGGCAAAATGATCTGCAGCAGGCTCTCAGATAATATTCCTGTTACTTTAGTGAACCATGAGGCCAGCCATATTAGAAAGAAGTAATAACTGTAAAGAATGTATCACAAGGTAAAAGATGGCTACTTTGTTCTAAATGTTAAGAACTCATCTATTTCCAATATTTATCCACAATGAACTTTTAACTCTCATATCAATATTATATACATGCACTGCCAACAAGGAACACCACTACTAAAACCCCAAGTTATTCATATACAGGGTGTTTCACGACTTTAGGACATAACTGCAGGAGGTGATTTCCTAGGTCTTTGTGATCAAAAAAGTTCATATAAACATTTGTCTGGATTTGGACGGTTATGGAGTTATGACCATTTTAAACTCAGAATAGAAGGTAACGATTACTGAGAATAAATGGAACAAAATAATAAACCAGCATAATACATGATATATTTAAAGTATGAATGTAAAATTAACTTCGTGAAATTACCTTTAATTTGAATTTATTGGTGCTTAAAGCTGATTCTCGAAAATGCCACCGCTGGCCACAACACAGGCTGCTGCTTGGTTGTGAACTGCGTGGGTACATACCAACCCACCACGCCTTAGGTACCTCTTAAGTGTCGAGATAACGAGAACGTTCTGTCTGTAGCTGGCTAAAAATAGCGACCCGTGAGATCATAGATGCAGTTTGCACGAGGGCGTGTACAGGAATGAAAAAACGGTCATAACTCCGTAAACGTCCAAAATCGGACACATGTTTATATAAACTTTTTTGATCACAAAGACCTAGGAAATCACCTCCTACAGTTATGCCCTAAAGTCGTGAAACACCATGTATGTGCGTTAACATAATATTATAGTGACTATTAAAAATGATGAATTTAGTTACTCATATAAAGTTTGGAACAAATTAATTTATCATAAATATTACTCTTGGTGTTATGTGGTCAGATCATTCATATTCGAGAGAATTTCTTCCACAACAGTGTGGACTTACACAGAAAAGCAGCAATTTTGAAAACTGTGCGCAGGGCTTTCTAGGTTTATGATTCTTTTTCTGAAGTTTCTTATTTAATGACATGGTCAATATTGAGTCTGTGTAGTGTCAGGTTTAGGATTCAAACTGCATATAATTATGAAATACACACATAACTTCAATATCATCTACTCTGTTAAATATATGTAAACTAATTCTTACATTAATTGATACACAACAATTAAAATCTCTAATTACTGTAGTAATTTCATAAGCAGAGCTGAGTTCATGTAAAAGCTGAATGTCCCACTCCAGGTACATAAAATTTGTATTCAGTACCTTCAATGCGCCTGTATGCAATTGTGGAATATTAAAGCAATGATAGGATGGACTGAATCATGTAAAATGCATAAATGTGACTAAAAGCTAGTTTATTTTGAAAAGTATAAACAATCTGATTATTATGAATGGTAAATGACTGCACATTTTAAGGCACACATGGTCTTAAACCAGGTGACCACTTGAATTATAAAAAGTTTTATTTTCTGGGTTATAAAGCCATGTACTTCACTGAGGATTCAAGTGACATTTTGGATGAACATGTTGCCTCCATCTTCAGGGCTGAAGAGTAGGGTAAGCAAGAAACCAACATGAAGCAGGCAGCAAGCAGAGCACATGGCCTACAAAAATGTAGGATTTTACAGAAAGAGAAGGGGCATTGGAACCCAACCCATCAGTTCCCATTGGCTCTTTCAGACAACCAGTATGACCCAAATGGAGACAGGAGAAGAGTGACTAGGTTTGCCCCTTGAAGATTCCAGTAGTGCAGGGGCACAGAACCAATGAGGATGAGAGATGCCGTGTGCATGGGATTTAGACATGCAGTTGGGGAAACAGCAAAGACACTGGAGGACAGAAAGGCTTGAGGTTGATGGATATCTGGAGATGGCTGGGTTGGTACCCTGATATGGGCAAACAAACCTAGTGGAGAACCCAACTAGAGAACTGTGTGAGGGTGGCATCCTATGCATTTTCACAAGCCACTTGCCCTGCTTGATGCTGATTTCTTGCTTGGCTCACTCTGCAACCCTGAAGATGGAGGCAACATGTTCCCACAAAACATTAGCTGACTTCTAATGGACTACGTGGCATTACATCACAGAAGACAGAACTGTTTAAATTCTAGTTGAATTACAATTCTGAATCCTACATAGGGAACAAATGTTTGTATTTTGCACAGTGATTGGCATAAAAAGCATACATGGCCAAGTTTAAACAGTATTATTTCCCAGTTTGCCAAAATATGTTTTATGTTCAGGAATACCTGTATGTAACTGCTTGTATAATGATATTTCCGGACATTCTTTTAACATAGATATATACATGGTGATTCAAAACTCACTGTGCATATGTGAAAACAGCAATTGCTGAAAGTGATCCTGAAGTCCCATGCATATGACCCTGATCACTACCTTGCTTCAACCAGTTGTGCTGTAGACGGTGAGTTTTATGAGACGTGTGAGTGCTATGAAAATGGTCTTGTTGTTCGAGATCTGAGTGTTTATGGTAGAACATATTTTGTTGTGGAGATGAATACACACAAGAAGTGAAACAGAGGCCTGCGGAAATATTTCTCAATCTCATCACACGGGAAACTGGATCAGTTACTGATACAACTCTGACTGTTACTTCAACTGATTTTGTATTAATCATTGGCCATTTAAATGAAGATGTCATTAATAAAAATGAATGGTTCCTGTCACACAAACAAATGCTATTTATTTATCAACTGGACCTATATGGGATAAAATATGTGAATTGATAAATAAAAAACATTTGTTTGTGTGACTGCAACCCCATAATCTTTATGTGTAAGCACAACAAACAGGATGCAACAGTTCATGCTCAAGAAGATGACATTGCCTGCAGAGGGATGCTGTTAGAGCACACATGGCTCATGTCTCTATGGTGTTTCTATGCAATGTCTTCAGTGGAAGATTAAGTTCAAGGGACACTCCACCACTGAGTTCACCTGACTTTAGTCCATCAAATTTTTATCTGTGGGGAGCAATGAAAGCTTCAGTTTACAAAGACAATCCTCATAGTCTATGGTTTGAAGGAAGAAAGCAATATCATTAAGAACAACACCCATGTTGTATTAGTACATGCCTTTGTCAACAACACAAAACGGGTAGATATTTGTTTACAAGCACGTGGACACTTCCAAGTTCACCATTAAAAGCATATTTGTGCACAATGACTTTTGAATCACTGTGTTGATTAACAAAAATTATTCATAATTTAATTGCCTAGAAACATATAAATATATTAACAGATGTGTTAAATATTTGATATCTAAGTAATTAATAAAAATATTCCTTGGCACAACATTTGTTTATTAGTAATTTGTGACAAACCTGAAAGAAAAGATATATAATTTGTACACATACTCTATTATTAATAATTTAGCTCAACTACTGCCTTGTAGCTATAACAATGAATGGATCTTGAGGGAATCTATATTAACATCACTTAAGATCATAACATGAACATTCAACACTTGTTTCATGAGATGACAATATTAGAAAAACCCTCAAACTTGATGGGTCAAATACTAATATGGGTTGGTGGGGGGAGGGACAAATTGCTGCAGTTACAATATTTTTCAGAACCTGTTTGTATATTTTAATCTGGCATTGTATATAAAAATCCTATGCTGGCAAAACTGTCAGTGAAATGCATGAAGTATCAGAAAGATACAGTATACTTAATGATTAATTTTCACTTACTTTTCCTTTTTAAATGTTCATGGTGAATACTTTGTGGAACTTTACAGCCACAACATAAAAATTAAATGAAATCCTCTTTCAGCTGCATTATTTACTGTTCAGCAATTTACTACTAGTTTTCCTTTAACACTCTCTTCACATAACACAGCTTTCATGGATAATAAGTAGTTTTTTGTCTTATGAATATAATCTTGTCTGTATAAAAAATTACTGATGGTCATTATATTTAACCCAATATACAAACTAAAACGTTGAATTAAATTCTGTGAACATCTATTAGCAACCTGACATTCCCTTCCCATGAAAAAAGAGTAACTCAGTACCTTGTAAAATATAAATATCATAAACCAGATCTGCCTGCTTATTGCCAATTTCTCAATTGGCATACACTATGGCCCTGAAGATGGAGTTGAAACATTCCCTGAATATCGATGGATCTCTACTGAACTACATGCCTCTATAACTAAGACAATCATACTCTTCAAAATATGAGGTATGTAGTAAAATTTGTATGGTACCGCACTCTGGCCATTATATCTGAAATGTGATTAAATGAGAACTGAACGCAGGACAGCCACATCTGAACTTCTGTCATAAGATGGTTATGAGTTTTATCTCAATTACAGCAAGAGGACAAGCTTCTCTGAGAAACTGTAATACAACAAAAACAATCAGCACCAATCTCTGAAAACCAGGTCAGGAACTAAAAGGTAGCATGTTAAAAGATGGTAAAGTGTAAGCTTTATGAATATGGCCTCCCCTAATATTCCTTTTAAAATAAAGCAAAGAGGAATAACAATTTGTCACTCAGGAATGATTTCCTTTCCTTCACAACATCCTGTTCAACAAGTTTTCAGGCTATAATGACAGGTGGCAGATCTGAATTAAACGTGAAGCAGTTAAAGGAGGACTTTTCACATAATTACATATGCAGTATATCATAAAATTGCTACAAGTCAGTGGTACCAACCTACTGTCAGACTCTCATAAACCCACAAACCAGTTGTAATGTTATAAAAAACAAAATCTTGTAACTATGATAACAGAACATATTTTAAAAATGTCTGCAGAGATCTATCAAAAAAGCATGAATATCATGGTATAATAATTCAATCTTTATATACTACATTTTTTAGTATTCTTCTGTGTATGGGACTGTGAATTTGACTACAAATTGATTTCTGGATTTTTTTATGGAGGTGCTTCATAGTTATTTTTAATACCCAGCACACTATCAAATGTCTAAGTGCTTTCTTACTAAAAACATGATGTTTTCAAAACTGGTTCTGCTTCAGTCTTCAGTCTTCAGGCAAAGGAGGGCATCTAATCTTATTCATTTGAAAGAGGTACACAAATATTCCATCAGATATTGTTCATGGTTTAAGGTACACACATCTCAAGAGTTGGCTCTACACCCATCTTCAGGTGATTCATTGTCACTTTATTGACAGACTTTCATTATTATTTATCTCTGACTTTGATGGGTGGAATCGAACCCAGGGCCATTTCAATGTTAGTTAATTCCTGTTGCTTCCTCTGGAGTATAGTGGATCTGTGAAATGCCATTTCACTTCAGTTTCTTTAATCTTACAGAGAGTTGACATGACTCCTTGGATGGTGGATCAGCCCATCGCAAGGCTGATACCTACACAAGACAATACAAACACAGACAAACATCCACACCTTGAGTGGGATTCGAACCCATGAACCCAGTGTTTGAGCAGGCAAAGACATTTCATGCCTTAGACCACGTGGCCACTGTAATCAGCTCTTGAACACTATGCTCCTAAGTTAACTATCATGACACTGGGGTTAGCAAATAGCCTAGTATTCAGAGGGTCATAGGCCTTACCCCAGATATTGCCACTAGTATCAAAACAGAAAAATAATAAAAATCTGTTAGTATAATGACAACCACTCAGTTGAAGATGGGAAAGATAAACTCCAAAAATGTGTTTTATATCAGATATACCTCATACAATGGATTGCATCCAGCATAATAAATATAAACTGAATCAAATTACACAACCTGCATAATAAACTGGACTTCTCAAGGTCACACCCGGGTAGAGTGGCAACAGTGGCCAGCTGATTCACAAGGTTCTCAGTCCTCGTGTGAGGGTTGCTCAGACCCACCATGATCCTGGGTTTGTCACTTTCCTGCTCTATGTGGGGTCCAAATTCAATAACAATCACAGGGTGCTGTCCAGGCACAACTTCAAGCCTGTCAGTCTCTCAACCAGGAAAATCTGCACCTTCGTGTTGCCAGCCATGGATAAGATCAAAGGCACTTGGGGTACACAGCATCCCATATGAATGCGGTCTAGTCTACACAGGACAGACAGGCTGTTCAATTAACACCAGGGTTTAGCAGTACCGCTGGCTCATCCACCCTGAACATCCTGACAAATCAACAATGGCAGGGCATGGCACAAATTTCGGATACAGCATCCTCCCCATTAAATCCAGGTGCGTGGACCATATCAGCAGGGAGCAGGCTGAGATTGAGCTCCATCCCAGCAACAGGAACAGGGAGGATGGGTTCTCTTTAAGTTGTGGAAACCTCTCATCATCTCCCCAAAGAACACGGGATGCATCCCTTGTTGGTTTCTTTTGATGGGTTTCTCTAGGTTGTTTACTTCATTCACATTGCTCTTTTCAGGACAAGGACTCCACCTTTTGAAAGCACCCACACTCCTTCTCTTTCCTGGCTGATTCTGCAACAGCTCATTCCTTCACCCTCCTTGGTCTTTCCTGCTACCTTCTGCTCCTGTTATCCTTGCTGAGATTCTTCACTGACATATATATCTTTCCTCCACTTATACCTTTATTCGACATGCAATCAACCAGCCCCTTTAAGGACCCAACTGAGGCAACTTTTCTTTTTCTCCCACTGGCTCTCTCTGCTTATCTTTGCAGAGAGTGATCACTTTTCACTTAGTCGCTTCCATGATTCCCTTCTGTCTTGGACCATCTTATATCAGATGTCATCTTCCACACACAGTTCACTCAACTGCCAATTGCTTTTCCTGGTTTCTCTTCTCCGAAATATGAAGCTTTTTCCAAACTATATGCTATTACAACCTTACTTACTTACTTACTCATGGAGCTGAGCCCTTCTTGAGGAGCAGCCAATTCTACAGCTACTCAAGAATTTCCCAGGATTTTATGGAACCCGGAGGTTCATCACCGTGTTCACAAGAGCCCTCCACTGGTCCCTATCCTGAGCCAGATCTATCCAATCCATACCATACCATCCAATCTCTCTAAGATCCATTCTAATATTGTCCACCCACCTACGCCTTGGTCTTCCCCGTGGTCTCTTTCCTTCTGGCTTTCCCACCAATATCCTATATGCAATCTTCTTCTTCTTCTTCTTCTTCTTCTTCTTCTCCTCCTCCTCCTCCTCTATTTGTGCTACATGACCTGCCCACCTCATCCTCCTATTACAACCTAGAAGACTGTAATCTTCATAGTCACCACTGTGTGAACCTCAAATCCAACAAATCAACAAATGTCATATAACATTTACAGAACCAACGATAGACCTAGTCTCAGTGATTGGACAGTGGATGCAATGATCGATGGCACATATTCCTCCTGGGTGAGAGATTACCTCCACTGGATAAAAAAGAAAACTGATCATAAAGTTATAATAACAAACAACTGATCTCAAAATTATGTCAATTCTGTATCACCTAACACATACAGTCCCTTGCCCAGCAGGTATATACACACCACTGAACTTTACATTCAGCAGGTATATACACACCACTGAACTTTACATTATGTCCAGTATTTGAGACTAGCTCCTTCTAATGGAAACCATCAGATTAAATTCCCTTGACTTTATCCTGAATTCAGAAGATAACCACCTTCTAAAATGTATTTTAGTAAAAGATAAATTTAAATAGTGGATAACAATCCAGGGTATCAAAACTAACTCTGATTTTTCACTTTAATTCTTTTAAGACACAGCTTACTGACTGCATATTGGGTACTTGAAAATTTGTTGTCAGCCATGAAGTTAACCATTACTCACCTCCATATTGAGATGTAGTAATCTTACTGAACTGTTCTTCTTGCAATTAAATATGTATGTCATCTTGTACTCTACATCTTAGACACAACACTGTAATTGTATTTCACACTGCAGTATGTACTAATCAAATTATATACTAATGGCAATGAAACTTCTTTTTGGGGTTATGCTTAGGCTAGGTGATTAAAAAAAAAGGGAGGCAGCAGAAGCTCCCATGAATATAAAATTAGCACACTGTGCATATGAGAATTATAAAAACAGATTATGAGAAACCCATCATCAATAATTGTAGGGTGACTGCAAAAAGCTAAGGAAGATGGAATCAATCTGTTTTTCTATGACATATTAAAAAATCATTGTATTCTATTTTTGATATGTGATTCTCAAAGAAGTGTTATGTAAACTTACAATTGTAACCCATCACAACCAAAAATTATAGTGCTGATTAAATAAATAATTTAATTGGAGTTAAGATGAAAGTAAGTCAGGTTTCAAAACAATGTTCACAGAAACAGCCCAATATTCAGGTATAACAGAAAATCTATGATGGAATATGAATCAACTAAAAATATGAAACTTCCTCTACAGCATTCTAGCTGAATCATTTGTGATTAAAAATTACCACCATAGCAAAGGAAAGTAATGACACCTAATATTAATGCCTTGTTACCTCTTTCCATTTCCTCTGCTACAGATGGTGACACTGAAATACAATATAGAACAGCTCAAACTTATCCATGCCATCACCTGGATATGAACCCTTCCAGTTACAGAGAGTGGCATTAGTACTGAGCCACCTGTGTATCACCCCAAAATGAAACACACAAAACGTATATACCTAAAATTTAAATGACTGTTTTGGGAAGAGATGATCAATTCTTGGTCACACAGTTATGTTCTAACTCTGCAATAGAATGGGTTCAATTCACTAATTCTCTTTTTTTATCACAGGGTCACAGGCTCCATCCCACTCAGGCAAGGATATGTTTTAATTACAGAGTTGAAAGAATTGAAGTGCTGTAAAAACCTAGAATACATATGTTTTCTGAACTTTACCTGAAGTAAAACAATGTTTTGAGTTCTTTAAAGCCCAGGAATTAATATCACCTACTCCATTATAAGTGAAATTACTATTTCCTTCAAAGCCTTCAAGATATTGTACAATTAGTTCTAACATACAATAAACCATTGTTAACTAGCTGAATGAAATATAGTATCCAGCATAGGATGCAGTATTGCACTTGAATATTCTTTCCATTCATTTCAGTCAAACAGGACAGGATGCATAGTTGCTGCCAACAATCTACAAGCTTGGTCTAGATTCAGTAACTGAAGGCAAGGGTGAGAGGGGACTGAAAACTGGTTTTGTACAACTCAACACACAAAGTGATTACTGATTGTAGCTATGTGCCATGTTCACAGATTAGTGGCAGCAACTGTAATATTGCACAGGTTCCTGAGCCATTATAATATGAGTTCAACTTCAATATTAACATTTTATCTGCAATACTCCCTGTGCATGCAATATATCTTTTATATTTAAGCCTTCAATTTAGTGATAAGAAATGGTCATGGACAGACACAGAGAGGTATTCTTATAGGAACATGTGCTACAGATATTTTATCACCTCAGTTAAGACACTGACAAGAAGCAATAGAAAAATAGATCCTAATACAACAAGCATTCCATCCATATTGTGAATGGTAAAGACAGTAAAGATTCTACATTTTCCTTTCCGTTCGTTACATATGTACAACCCTCAGGCAAAGCCTATAATTACACTGAACGAGGCATGTTACACGAATCTGTTTCTCCATTCCACTAACTTTTCCTTGTTAAAGCATTCATATAAAACAAAATATATGCTTACATAATGGTCTAAAGATGGGTAGATAACATAAAACACAATACTGGGTTATTATATAAAACGTTTGGGTGCTGTGCACAAGTCTGTTCATATTACACGAACTTGAGCAGGGCCATTACAGCTATAAATGGTGGCTCTAGCATATAACAATAAATGTAAAAGATAGTGCCATATGCTTATCAAAATATCAATCATAGGTCCACATCTCTGGTCTGGAAGATCTACAACAATCTAACCAATTTCCTAGGATCATTCACTATATACATAACAGCTACAATCTGAGACAAAAATATTTATGGAGTTCTTAGTACCTCATTCAGCAAAAACGTTGACTTCTTGCATACTTTAAGGCACCTTATCTCATGGACTCTGGATCACTTTGCATGAATAATGCAGAACATAACATCAGTCAACTACAATTTATTCCTTTCAAGTGAGCAGAAAAAATAAGCATAAGCCATATTTTGTATTATCTACTAGTGAAAACCTATGAATCTACAACAGACATGTGCTGTTGTGTTCAAACAAAGACTTAATTTCTATGAGAACCACATATGGTGTCAGAAATCTTTGTATTACTCTTTTAATATGTTTTCCCCCAACCTATTAGGAAAAGGAATTACATATAATACTGAAGAGATTTAAGAGTTCAGTCTTCTGAGACCTAACACCCTTAGTCCAGTGACAGTTACTACTGACATTTTGGATATATCACCTCCATCCTCAGGTCAAAGAGTAAGCCAAACAGGAAACCATCATGAAGCAAGCAGCATGCAGATCTCTGCTTGATGCTAATTTCTTGTTTGGCTTACTCTTCTACCCTGAAGATGGAGACAATATATTCCTCCAAAAGATCAGTTGACTTTCACTGGACTACATGACATTATATACCAGAAGACAGAACTCTTCGCAGCCCTCATTGTGAGAACCTCAAATCCAAAATATATATAATACTGATTTACGAAAAATTGTAAAGAACACAAATAAATCTGTATAGAATATTTCACTTAATTTGCCGAAAAATTCTGGTTAAAAACGTGTCATCCAATTTGATTTCTATATCAGTGTCAATACCCAGGATTGCATTAAAATATTATTAAAGAATAAAAGAATTAATTGTTATAGTTAACTTATGTGTTGATACTTAACATTAAAGCAAAGCTGAAAGAACCACAGCACTTGTGAGATTCAGTTAAGCCCTGTTGGTATCATAGAATTGAACTTTTCAAGTTATCCATACCAATAAGAGACCACACTAAATCTAAGTTAAAACTAAATTTGTATTTTCATACTGAAAATAGCTATACAATTTACAATTCTTTAAAACTCTCCATTATACTGTCTGTATACTTATACTTCAGGGAATTACTTCAGTTACAGGAAAAATATTTTAAGAAAATGTATCATTACTATATCATGTACCAACAATAAAGCCAGCAAGTATTCATTACTATAAAAGCACCATTTAGATCAATATTTAAGCAATTCACTGCTCTAATAAATCACAGGAGTGATGTCAGTAAACATGTTCCAAACTTGGAACATCATTTCAATGTCAAGAAAGCCACTGCAATTTTGAATTATGTATGAATTTTGACCATGTACAGCCTGAGGTGCTGACAGCATCACACAAACAATGAACTAAAATAAAACGTGTGAAATGTTCTTATACAATTCAATTAGAGCATTTTTATTTTCTACCACTTCTTCCATATCCATTAACAAACAGAAGTTCACTGCTGTTTACCATTTTTGTTTAAAGGTGACATAAGAACACAGTTCTTGACCTGAGGGTTGATTGTAGACATAACTACAAGGAACAAGTAAAAGGCTCAGAGAAAGAGTGAGTGGAGACGGAGGGAGGGAATTTCACAAAAATATGTAAAAGACCACAAGCAGTGTAATTTGGCATGATTCCATTATTCTGAGGAACACGATCACTCCTTGTGTTCTGTAACCTGTAATATTACATGTGTGATAACTGCAAGAAGAACTATATTTTTTGGATATGAAGATTTACATGATATTGTGGTGCAATCCTAGCTGTGTGAAACGAAATTCTCAACTTGCTATGTACTCTGGGTCCTTTATGTGCAAGCAAATAATTTGTTTACTGAAAAAATCTACTAATTTGAGACATTTGTACATGGAAAGGCATATGGCAGCAAATAATATCCAAACTACCTTTCTTCAAAACATAATCCTCTATGAATATAATATAGAGAATGAAGAAAATAAAGAGCTAATGAGCTGAAGAGCCTTGAAATATTAATAAAATTTTCTTATTAAAAACTCTTTCATTTTAAAGACAGAAATCTTAAAAATTTATTCTTTTTGGCAGAAGGGAACATTTCATCTTATTACTCTCTCCACTCCACTCAACAGACTGTGGTTAATTTTATATAACATTCTGTAACAGTTACATATACCATATCTGCATAAAGATATATGTAATGTCCAAGGCAAGCAACTTCACATCACTCTTTGCTTTTAAGTGCATTTGTGTCTGATGGAAATGCAGTGGAAACTTGGCTACAAACTGGAAGCTGTTCTGGGATGCACAGTATGGCAGGCTGACTGGTGGGGCTGAATGCAGACCTTTGTATCCACACTGCAATAAAAATAAGTCATGTAGGAATGCTAATCTCCCTCTAATTAATGGATATATTTAGGTTTAAGTGGCATTATATACTGGTAGGGGATGACGAGGATATAATGAACATAACATAAGTAACAGATATATTAGACCAGTAATACATAAAAGTGATGTGAATACAATATCCTCAAATTGCCTTAGTGTTAGACAGGGAGTGCCACAAGGGTCTGTATTAGGACTTTTGTTATTTCTCTTACATATAAATGACTTGCCTAAAATATTAAATAAATTTGTGTATACAAACTTCACAAACAGTCTTGATATGCCTTTTCTGGCAAGTATGGTAGTAACTACGCATATAGTTACTTGTGGGGTTTTATGTAGTTTTGTCATTACTCCGATGACAACCCACTTCTTCGGAACAGTTTGTTAGTCCTGAAAAGGACCGTGGTTGCTGAGATGCTTGACCGGTGAGGTAGTGCGGCGCGCGCTGGTAGGGAGAGAGGTTAGTTGCGGTGAGTGGATTGGCCGCAGTGCGGCCGTTGCTTGATCGCGGTGCGGCAGATGGTGGAGGTTGCTTGATCGCAGCGCGGCGGCTGCTGGTGAAAGGCTGGTCATTGAGCGCGGTCGTAGAAGTGATGAGGCAGTGGCTACGCCAGATGCCCAGTGGGTCAGACAGGGACACGACCACCGGCGAGTCCAGGCGAGGTGCCCCAGTGAGTCGGGTGTGAGAGAGCCAGAGGGCCGAGGCAGTCGTGCCTGGCGCAGCCTGCCGATGCCTCCGAAGACCGAGTGCTGGCGACGAAGCCTGCCGGCTGATGTTGCTTGAGTGTGGCTTGATCATAGACTGAAGTCAACTGATGCTCACCGCTCGGTGGGCGGAGCGAAACTTCAAATTGAGGAGGAAGAATTTGCAGGGTTCTGATTGGCTAGCATGCGTGATGATGTAGATGTGGGGCTAGCAGCGAGTGCAGTATAAATGCGAACGTTTGGAGCAATTTGATTGGTTAGCGCGCGTGATGGTGAAAAGTGATGTGAAGAGTGTGCGTTGCAGAAAATGCGCGATAATGTGGGATGTTCCCACAACTCATTGCTAATAACCACTTGCTCCTAATTTAACAGTAAAAGAGACCCCTGCCCTTTCTAACAGTCAATTCAGCCACAGAATTGAATGCATCTCGCATCAAGGCATCTAACATCAATAGCGGGTGGAGAAGGCCAAGCTAATGCCATGCTATCATGCTGCATCACAGCCATATTCATGTTCAGTTATACCATAAAGACATTTAGGGTATACCAATTTTCATCTGCACTTGCCAGGTAATGAGAAAAGGGTTGCGGATTCAGAAGGTTCTTGTTTGCACACTAATATCATAAAAGAAAGTGATGTAATAAATATGTTAAAAGAAGAATTACATCACAAAAGTGATTCTTCACTTATTTCACAGGCTGATGAACATTATGAAAAACTAAGTTTGGACTTTAATGGTATGGAAATGTTGCAAAATGGCGTTTGACTCTAAATGTTTTGAGCTACATGAACTTGTTCAAGATTACTCACCTGATAGTATCAGAACAGACTAAGCACAATAGGTCACTGTAGGTCACAGTGCAAGAGCCAAGAAGGCCCACCCCTTATACACTCATTCATTCATCAGAACAGACTCCATTTCTCCCCTCCTTGATAGGCGTTTTTATGAATGGGTTGTCAAACAAACAAATAAATAATATGACTCTTGCTGCCACTGAGACCAGCCTGATATAATTCAGGCATATAATGCTACACCGATTTACATTGATCTGACTAAGTACAAGAAGTAAATAACTGCTTTCAAGAAGACACTTTTGTGAACCTTACCGTAAGACAAGCAATGACTTTCTGATAATAGAAAAAACCTACAAAGTACTTGCCACTTCAACGATGAAGAGAGTATGTTATGAAAAGATTTTGAATCTTGTATGTACTGTACAAAGGAACACCATCAGTAGACACAATGAACAAGTTCTAAAATTCTTGTTCTTAATTATCCAGGGCTGGAGCTTACTAGGTAGCTTTGGCTTCGAGGAATAAACCACACAGAACGTTGAAGGTTTTCCATTTCAGCACCAGGGGCTGCGATGAAGAGTTACACACAACTGAAGTAGGATAATGAATCAACATGCAATGCAAAAAATTCAATGCTGACTCTATAAAATGTGCTTCATTAATATTAGTTAATTAGTAGTGCTGAAGGGATATCACATTCCCCATATTTGGGTGTGGTGTACATCTCCAAGAAAACTTAAAGCAGAAAGTTTTACAGAAACTACTAGTCGATATTGTAGGTTTTAAAAATTAAGACCCAGACTGTTGTTTGGGAATTATGCTATATGAACTTGAATTAGCATTACAGAATCTGAAACACCATTTTAAAATGTGTCTGAATATTGGAAACGTCGGTTTCAACATCTGCCCCAACTCAACACACATAGAGCCTTCACTCAGAAATATACAGGCCTATAGGATTTACAAAAAATGTTTGATAAAACTTTTGGATATCGTTCCACACTTTGAAACAATGAAAAAATCTATACAAACATGCATATGAAATGGTCAAGTTTGGAGCTATGGCCCTTTTAAATTTTAGAACGTCTGACAACAACATCCTGTCTAGCTTACCTTTTGCCTTCTTCTGATTGTTTTCACTTGTACTGTGTCATCCCTTGCAAAGACAGTCTTTGAGTTAGTTTGTGTCTTGTACTGTGCAGAGGCAGTCACCAGTCAGTTCTTTACATTCTGTGAGTGGATCAGTGTGACAGTTAAATTGTGCTGTTCTTGTGAAAGTGGTAAATAATTACATAAATGCAGAAATGGCAGTCATGCATTTTGTATACAAAGGACATGTGGTTCTTACAGCAGTAGTTATGAAGAGAACTATCTTGTGGGACATAATGCCATGCAGTCTGCTCAAAGTAAACTGATGTTTTGCAGGAAAATGTTGTCTTCATCTCTGGGGTCAAAGAATAAGCCAAGCAAGAAGGCAGCATGAAGCAGGCAGCAGCTTTGCTCGCTGCCTGCTTATTTCAAATCTCTTGTATCAGACATCCATACAATAAACAAAATACTGGTCATAGTGAAACACACTTCAATATACTATTGACCATAACTTGAAGAAATGATAAATCTGTTCAACCATTTTACTCACCTCACAATGGAGATCCTAGTACTGATACCATGGCTGTCTCCTAACCCAACGCAGGCGAATACCTGCATCTGTGCGAATCTTAATAGATGCAGACTCAGCTGCACGAACTGTCTCCTTGACAGACTGCATTAGATTCTGTGCATTACCCACCAGCATATCTGTTGCTTCTTGATCTTCCTCTGTGCCTGCACCACATTGAAGGAATAAATTATATTCTGAACGTGAGTAATAAAATGATGAGCGAGAGGAAAACCAGGCATATCCACCAGTATCACTGAAATCCCCAGATCTTTCAGTGAGGATGCAGATCTCTGTTTGGTATGGTAAAACCCTAATGTTATAACGAAATTTACTGTTTGATTAAAAATTTACCATGCATCTCATATGTTAATCAGTAGTACATCTGTTAGCTACATTTTATACTACTATCAACATCTTTGTCAATGAATAAGGGAAATTTCTTTTTCAAGACCAATAAATTGCACTATAGATTTTTTGCAATTTTCTACATATCCAAATTACTGTGTGCTCGTAGTAGACATACTAGAAGATATGTGGATTCTGGGTTAGAAATATTTTCATTGTAACCTGTATGAATGTCGTACTGAGACACGTTTCCTGTGTTAAAGGGTTATACCACATTTCTTAATACTGCATGATGCAAAAACCTACCATGACACTTTTATGTTACAGTATATTAATCTCACTCTATACCACATGTAACAGAAATGAGAACCATTATAAAGGGCATATATGAAGAAAATGGGGCTGCAATGCAGTTTGATATACAGTATAATTTTTATTTACATGCACTTATTTACTCTTTGCATGATTGAGGATTTCCTGGACATGCATCTAAATTACTTTCTTTGGAGGAGACATTTTGAGAGACACTGTCTCAATATATGCCCTCTGAAGTGTATAAACATTACGTGTACTTGCCATGGAACAGGCCCTTAAATACAAGTCCATTCCCAATTTATTTTCTTTCAGAAAATACCTACCTGAAAGAGTAACTTATTGGCACACAAAGTTACCACATGTTGTTATGCATATCTGCACTGGCTAGTACAGTTCATTATGTCATTATCAGTAAAATAGCTGAATATAAAATGCAAGTCAAATATTCATCAGTCTTCATATGTATCATATAGCTATCCATGCATACAAATGAAATTAAATGATCAAAACAATATGTTAATAAACTTGCAGAAAGCCCCTTACTCACAAATAGGCTGCATTCAAAAAGCATTCAAAACTGTACTTCCCACTGATACGTTTTAATTGTTGATTATATTAAAACCACTGTAAAATCCCTTACTTAATGCATAATCACATAAAGTATAGTATATTCAGAATGAATAAGAATAGAAAGATATACTGTTGAATGCCAATAATGACGCAAAGCCAAAAAGGAATCTAACTGAACAAGAAATTATATGGCCACAAATTTTTCCACTTCCATGTCATCAATACATCAGTGCATGATTTCTTCATTTGTTCTACATAATCACACACTTTTACAATGCAGGCACATGTGAACTAGGTCTTCACACTCTTCTCATCTCAAACAGTGTATAAGTGGTGAGATTTATATGATCAGGAAATGTCTGTCTTCATATGATTTCTGGAGGCTAAGCATGGATGTCTTATGGACTCAAAGTATATCATACAATTATTTTGTAAGTTCACATCCCTATGCCATGTGCTATCAGTAGAACTGTCAATTGTATTTACATGGCTGTAATGCATAACATATAATGACAGCTTTCACTCAAGCTTCATGGAGCATAACTCTTCTTGAGAAGCTGCCAGTTGTACAGATACTCAAGAAATTCTGAGCATTTTATGGAACCTGAAGGTTCATTACTATGTTCAAAAAGCCCTCCACCAATCCCTATTCTGAGCCAGATCGATCCAGTCCATACCACCCCATCTTATCTCTCCATGATCCATTTCCATATAACCAACCCACCTATTTCTTGGTACTCCTAGTGGTCTCTTTCCTTCTGGCTCTCCCACCAATATCCTACATGTAGTCCTATTCTTCCCATCCGTGCTAAATGCCCTGCCCATCTCATCCTCCTTGACTTCATCATTCTAATTATACTTGGCGAAGAGTACAAGTTATGAAGCTCCTCATTATGCAGTTTTCTCCAACCTCCCATCACATCATCTCTCTTCAGCCCAAATATTCTCCTCAACACTCTGTTCTCAAACACCTCAGTCTATGTTCCCCCTTTTAATGTCAGAGACCAAGTTACCCACCCATAAAAAACCACAGGCAAAATTATAATTTTCTATATTCTAATTCTTATATTTTTAAACATTTTCTGGACTGAATGGCAGCAAGCATTACCCAGATTCAGTCTCCTCTTAATTTCCACCTGAATCAAGTTTTGATTTGTTACTGTCATTCACAAATATTTGAACTGTGCCACATTTTCAAAGGATCTGTTACCTGTCTTCATGTTATGATTTTGCCCTGCATTCTGGTGATGAGACAGCAACATATACTTAGTTTTCTCTGTGTTTACTTCTAGACCAACCTCATTACTTGCATAAATTAAACTTTCTGTATTTTTCTTTATGGCATCTATGTCATTTCTCAATAGATTCACATCATCAGCATAGATCAGCAGCTGATGTGTCCAATTTCATTTCAGTCCCATCTGGTTTTCCTGGACCTTACTAATGGCATATTCTACGGTAAAGTTGAAAAGCCATGTCAATAGAGCATCTCCTTGTTTTAGCTCATTCTGGATAGGAAAATTATTAGAGAAATGTTTACCTATATGGACTTTTAAGTTTCATTTATACACATTTTAATCAGTCTAACTAGTTTCAGGATCAGGAACCCACCAATACGTAAATGTTTTTATAAGACTATATATACTTAAAACATTTATGATGCTCACTAAATGTAGTTGTTAATTTTCCATTGCCAAAATAGATGTTTGACGTAAACTTTTATAATAAGAACATTCTTGAAGTATATTACTTAGAAGTGATGTAGTTGCAATCACTTCCATAAAGGATATTTTAAAAAATGTAATTTTCCACTGCACTGTATATAAAATTCAATTTGTTTCACCAAAGCAACCTTCCAAACTTAATTGTAAACTTAATAGTGTGACAGACCAGAATGAAATAAATCAAGTTTCAATATTCTTTTCAAAACTCTGTTTATCACACATATTAGAACAGTGTAATTCAACAGACAAAGAAAATCCCCACTCTTCTGGAACAGAAGGTAATATGAGACCTGAGACTGGTACATAAATGAACTGAAAGGAAACAGTCAAATGTCAGTTACACTATTGACAGTGATTATATTCTGCAAACTTGTCCATAAAAGTTGAAAGAAATGATTCAGGTAAATGAGAAAACACTAATGAAAAATAATCATCAAGTAAAGTCATATGGCTTATCTGACAAATGATATACCAATAGGATATTACAGTTGTACCTACATACTTTGCAACAATTCATGTCACATACATCATCAAAAGGACCCGTTAGTTCTTTGTCACCAAAAGGTAATTTTGAGGGACTTAGTCTTTATACTAGTAACTTTCTCACCTCATGACTCAAGGTACGCGGGTTCAAACCTGTCGGGGGTTGTGGAATTTTTAAGGGCGGAAAAATTCCGGGAACAAGTCCTCCGGGAGGGACTTTAAGCTGTGTGTCCTGTGTCGTAGATTTACGGCACGTAAAAGATCATCATGTCTCTAGGAGACCTCTGAGCAAAATTAGGCAAGTTTCGCGCCCAAGTAGTTTCCAATTCTTCCGGTAGATGGGACCACTGCCAGAGAGGGCCGACCTCGCTGGCAGAACGGGGCTGATAGCAAGCACCAGTACTGGAAGGGCATGGTGACTAGTTACAATAATTAAAGGGGGACACACAATAGATCAACAAATGGTCGCAGTGCATGGGGAAACCCACCCCTTCCAAATAATAATAATAATAGTCTTTATACTAAAGTAGAAATAACAATATTCAATTAGATTCACTATATATATATAAATTTTAAAATAATTTCAAACTAAAACACATAAAAACAACACTAACTGACCTTGAGACAAGATGGGCCATAATTTTTGAGAACACAAAAATATCATAAGACAAAATTCTGAAGGAAAACTTAAAAAAATGTTAACTATCATATAGATTAATCAACAACAATGAATTCATCACTACTCACTGTTGCCAAACATGCTTCCTTCCAAACCGGCAATGTTGCAATACAAAACAACAAAAACACACATGTTCCTCAGTCAACATTTGTAACATTATCAACCCATTTGCCATGAAAAATATTAACACAGTCACACAACATTAAGGGAGTGAAATTCAATTATAAAGTAACTTTCACTACACGAAAGCATGGTACTAAAATGAATAACTACAGGCATACACATAACAGACCACATATTTACAATATAACTATCAGAAGCACAATTCTCTACAGCTATTTAGGTTTATACATGCAAAATCAGAAGGCAATGTTTTATTCCTTAATGTGAATATTTTACAATAAGAAGAGTTTGGAACACTTATTTTTATCCCTTGATTTTATTTTTAAAAGCAGTACTCACCATCCATCATCTTACAACAAAGATGAGTAATTTTTTTGTTTAAATTAAAATAATTATAAGAAATCCTTCCTTTGACACAAACAGATTTCTCATAAATGTCACCATTGAAAATGTAAAATATTTTTAATGATAAGAACCTACTGTCCTCTAATTTTACTATAAATGAACAAGGTTTCATGATGAATTTCATGTGATTTGCATACAAATTTCTAAACAGTTTAACTCAACAAACATCTAAGTTTGGTGCTGTCATAATCTCCGCTATCATGGACATTTGTTTTTAACAGAAATGCAGTGTACTTCTGGTCAGAACATGTTGCTACAGTTTTGTTACACCCTTTAATCTGCAGGATTTGAGGTGGTTGAAGAATTCTGTAATCTGATAGAAGTCAATTAAGGTTTCAGGGGAACATACTGCCTCCACTATAAGGGTCAAAAAGTAAGCTAAGCAGGAATGCAGTATACAGCAGGCAGCCCACAGAGCTGTTCTGTTACATAATTTATATAACATATTTTTTATATAAATATACAGAAAACCCTGCTGTTCAAGTGCATAGTTCACCATTTCAATTCAGTACTAGAAATAAAGACAGGAAACAGATGTCTGAATGTCTTATGTGAAAAGAAACACAAGGCAGATCATGTTTTACAACAAATCATTTGTAGTTGTGACCACAGGGCCATAAAAGATAAATAAAGCATTGCATCTTCTGGGATATAATGCCATGCATTCCACTGAAAGTCAACCGATGTTTCAAAGCAAAATGTCACCTCCATTTTCAGAGCCAATGTTCTTCTTCATAGCTCTGCTTGCCACCTGCTTCATGCTTGTTTCTTGCTTGGCTTATTCTTTGACCCTGAAGATGGAGGTGACAAGTTCCTCTGAAATGTCGGCTGACTTTCAAAAGACCACATGACATTATATCATGGAAGATTGAGCTCTTTATAACTACTGTATAAGAACCTCAGATCCTACATAAAAGAATAAAGTTAACCATGTAGAAATGTAGCTGACAGGCGATCTGCCCATCTGTTTATCACCAGAAGCATCTTCAACTACTTCCTTGTTTTTTGCACAGCAGTTGCCAGATTTAGCTGTTCGAAGGCACTGTATTTCATCTCAATAACTATTATAAATGCTATGGTAAATTTAAAATTACTTGCAGAACCTGTTATATCATCAGATGATTTTGGTTTTCCTGTAAAAGTACCTACTTAGGAGTTGGGGTTTAAACTTCACACTCAACTGTTTCCATTGAAACAAGGTATATGGTGTATGTCTACATAACAATTTTTTAACAAAGTTAATGAAATTAAATATAAATTAATGAAAGTGTCAATACTATCTAATTTTTATTGTTGTTATTATTTACCACTATATGTTTAAATAATTATGAATAACAAAAAGAGAAGTTAATATTGACACTACTATTATTCTTTATTTAATGTTATTAATTTTATTAAAAAAACTGCTGTGTTGATGGCCATCTTATGCCTTGATTCCTTAAGACAACACATTGCAGAAAGAAAAAGATATGTCCACTGAAGCTAATGCAAGTTAGAATTATTTTGTATGAATGCAAGGAATGAATGAAACACATATTAAAATGTCTATGAACAAAACTTTCCCATACTAGGTATAATCACTGTTTCTTACAACAAGAGTTTAATCATAAACATCCTGGAATTACTAACTAGAAAACCAAATACTAGAACTGGGTCACAGAAAGAATGAACACAGATTCTCCCCCACACATCTGGTTAACAGCTACCTCTCCTCTGTGTCCTTCAACCACTCCTACCAGTTGTCACTTGTATCTTTCTCTCTCTCTCTCTCTCTATCTCTCTTTGTAGGCTCTGTTATTGGTACTGCGGAGGGGGGGGGACTTCCACCACTTGTCTTCATTCCTTTCTTGACTGAGCACAGAAACAACAATCCTTGCATTGGACTCTCATTTTAGTACTCTAACAGTATCTATGAAGTGATCTGAAAAGACTCTGATATTAACCAGATTTTATTTATCAGATAGATATGCCTGTTCTCCTATGATGAACTATAACATTCAAAAGACCCATATTCATGCCACACAAACAGGCTTCATGCAAGTAGCAAGCACATGTCCAAACACTTAAACTCTATATAAATTGCTGGCAGTTTACCCCCAAGAATCTCTCCCATGTCCATCCGGGGAATCACCTCTGTTAAAACAAACAGAACAATTTGCAAGAAGCACTAAGTCACATCATTTATAAGTATAATACAGCAGCATTATTTTAGCACAGACAGTAGGCAATGTTGACAAATGCTTTCAAGAAGCAATGTTGTTAGATTTTGTGTGAAGCTACATGGCAATTCTTCTATAAATTAATATTTATTAAATAAACATGCTATTTTAATGAACTGTGAATAATCTAGGGTCACATTCTGGAAATGTATCTACTGTTTTGTGAATACACATTAGCTTTCCCCTAATGTAATCCAACATATAAACACATAAGACCAAGATGTACAATTAATCCACTGATATGGTATTTGATTTTGTCTTCCTGGAATTCCTGTATAAAATCAATACAAAGTCCTCAAAATAAACATCACCATTAATCACAGAAATACCCAACAGGTATACTATAACTTTTTTCTGAAAAAAATATTTTTAATTTTGTTCAGCAGCTTTCCATACCCTGTAAGTGGCTGATGTCACAAGAATCTGCAGACAACCTGCAGCCATGAATGAATGCAGGGTAACTACTGTTTATGTATTACATTAACCAGAGTTTATTATTCTGAATTACTACAGAAAGTCATTTTTTTTTGTGCTTTTACAAATTGTGTAAGCATATTTCATATTAATAAATTATACTGCAGAATGATAACCAATTCAACATTATAAAGACCTCTACTAAATGAATCCAATAGTTATAATTTCACTTGCAGAATGTATGCCATTTCACTTCACACTAATGCCATAACACTCTAATCCAGAAGCTTACAAGCAGAAGCATAAGTTCATCGTTATGTACAGGTATAAGCCATTAAATGCCTCCTGTTGCAGAAATGCAGCACTGATTACCTTTACAAAGATGACATTACTTTAAGTCATACCAGTTTGTTTCAACAGTATTGTACTGTTGACAATTATGGCATTAAGACTTCCCCAGTGAAGGCAATGGAGTTAACTTTTATAATCCATGTAGTGCTCAACATTCAAACCCACAGAGGATATTACAGAATGTAATATAGAACCACAAGGATTTTGTTCAGTTATAAAATTCCTTTCTGTTCTGCCTATATGACATGTAATTTGTCAAATTTCAAAGTTTTACATACACCTATCCCTGTCATTAAACTGCATTTCAACTACAGGCTTTTAAAGATAAATCGTGAGCAGCTACAATGGTATTTAAATTATGTACATGTTGACTGCACTAAGAAAACAACTGGTTAATGTATGCTCCACAACCACATTTACATTAATTTGAATATGCTGAACCACATCAATTGAAATCAACATGGGTAAAGCAATTTAAGACGGAACCTTGTTTAACTGTTACATTACAAATGAAGAGCAAAAGGAGTTTCTTAATGGTAAACAACATATCTATCATCATTCCTTCCAACGCAGTTTTTTGGTGTGAACCCATAGCCACAATACTTGGTGTCATGTTTCGGAGTCCAAGTAAAATACCTAGAATGTATGCCACTGATCTGCTGTAGTGCCATTCTCACTTTCAAAGTATACCACAAAGTTTTAGGCATTTCCTACAAATCACTTATTCTTTAAAAATATGCTACCCCATTGAAAAAATTAATGTAATATAAAATGTTTACTTCTGTGTCTTCGATGGTGGGTTTATTACATGCTCAGAGTATGCAGTGGTGGCATAAAAAAAAGAAAAGGGGAAAGGAAAATGTAACAATTGCGTGATATTTGATGTAACTTTGAACATGGTTACATAAGTTTCCTCACACAATCTCTCCTAAACTTCCGACAAAAATTCGACACTTTTAAAGAATGTGCTGGCATAACTCATCCAAGCTTCAAATTGTGCAAGGTTTCCAGACATGACCTTTATAAGATTATTTTTAGATGAGTTGAACATTGCCTGATGGAATCAAAGCATTATTTAATTCCCAAATGTTTGCACTCCAATATACTACAAAGGTCACTTTCTAAGTTGGTGGGAAGTGAGAAGCACAAAGTTAGATGTATGAAACATCACAGAATTGAAAATGGCGAACAATATGATAGTAATATCCTGCTAACTTATGGCAGAAAAGATTTTATATATTTGTTGCATATTATTGCGAAGCTGATGATTTGACATCAGCTAACAACCTGTTTAAGTGACTATAACAATGTGTGTAAAATGGACCCACAATTCAATACAAATCTTTGCACAAAAATCTTCCATTTGATGTACAAGTTTCCAAGACCCATTCTTTTAAACATTGACAACTGAAGTCATGCAAATCGAAAAGTATGAAAATGCTAGATGAGTACACTCATCAAAATCCTACAGTTGCACTTACCTAGTTATAATAAAACATAAAACTCAGCAATTTGAAGAGAACAGTTGTAGGAATGCCAACTGCATCATTTATAAGAACTTATACTAGTGAACATGAGTAAACAGTATATATAACTTGGTATTCACACATCACTTCAAACATGGGATTTTACAAATTTTTGATAGTGAAAGAAATCTTTGGAATGGGGAGAAGAAGATGGCTTACTTGTTTTCCTGATGCAGGAAAATAACTTACAATGTAATCCACCCATTTGTTTCTAATATTTCACTTGTTTAAACTATTACAAACTTATGCTCAAAAGATACTGGAATTTACTAAGTTACAAATGTTTCCAGTTTATTTACATGAAAATGAGGATCCAATTCTTTCAGTGTATCTAAATTATTCAGCCCCAAAGTTGTTGATCTGTAGACTCAACAAATGAAATTGTGACTCATAATGTGAGCAAGAATGCATACTGAGAAAAATAACATAAATATGATTTCCACCATAATCAGATGAAATTACCTCCTAATATTTATCATGCATATTATAAAAATCAGTCTTAAACAACTATTGATTAAAATTCACTATTAAAAATCTGTTCGTCCTCATTTTATGCACTGTTCCTTACTAATGTCATAGGCTCTGTCACAATTTTCCTTGTACCAGAATAAATGGATATTCCAGATATATACCAATGATCACAGTCAAGTACAGAGCACTCCTGATTCACATTTTGGATGTCCCTGTCTCAAATCTTAACCTGGAGACAAGCTATCATGAAGTACTAAGTTCCAGGCTCCTTTTCTATATAAATAATGATTTTGTTTGTTCAGTGGATGTAAAATTTTTGGGTATTTGCATACTGAAGATTTAAGTTGGGCAAACCCACACCCAATATGTGTGTAAAAAACTTAGCAAGACTACCTACTTGATAAAATCCCTATGGGACTCAGTGAGCCAAACTATTTTAAGAAGTGTGTATCTTGCAAAATTTGAGTCCGTGTTGAAATACGGTATTATTTTTTGGGGTGAGGTGTAAAAGGACTCTGAAACTCTACTTAAACTGCAGAAAAAATGTGTCAGGGTGACAAAAGGTGTTAAAAATAGAGTTTCCTGTAGAAATTTGTGTTGTGAATTAAAGATTTTAACTGTTACTTATATATTTTTGAGATCCTATGTTTTACAATAAAAAATAAGATATATACCACCCAGTATTCTGATGTTCATGGCTATAACACTATTCATAAACACAATTTGTATGTACAATTTTGTAATACTGAGCGTAGCAAGAGAGGGGTGATTAGTATGGGAACCAAAATATTTAATGGCCTTCCAACTGAATTAAAGAATGTAATAAATTTTAATGTTTTTAAGAAGAAACTTAAGAATTATTTGTTGTGTAATGTCTTCTATTCTCTTCAAGAATTTTTTAATAATTGTTGACATGGACTGCTTGTTGATAAATCTGTCTGTATATTTTT